CAAAAGTTATTATTTGGGATGAAGCACCTATGGCTTCATGTCAATCTTTAAATGTTATAGAAGCTGGATTACGTGATATTATGCAAAATTCAGTTCCTTTTGGTGGAAAAATTATAATCCTTGGTGGAGATTTCCAGCAAGTCCTTCCAATTATACGACATGGATCACGTATTGCTCAAGTTAATGCAAGCCTAAAATGATTCTCACTATGGTCACTTTTTCAAAAATTTCAACTTAATCAAAATATGCGTGTTAAAGAAGATGAAAAGAAATTTTCAAAATGGCTTCTTCAGTTAGGTGATGGATCATTACCTACAGTTAATGGCGAAATACAACAACCACCAGAATGTATTATATCAGGAAATTTGATAACCGATATATTTGGTAAACAAATTAAAGAAGAGGATCTTAAAATTCTTTATGAGAAAGTTATTCTTTGCGCCATAAACAAAGATTGTCTTACCTTAAATGAAGAAGTAATTCACAGACTTTCTGGTTATCCAAAGACCTATTTTAGTATTGATACAGCTATTTGCAAAAATGGAGATGATCCAAGTGCATATCCTGAAGAATATTTGTATTCATTAACTCCAAATGGATTACCTCCACATAAGCTAACACTCAAAATTGGTGCTGTTGTTATGCTTTTAAGAAATCTTGATGTCAATAATGGTCTATGTAATGGTGCAAGACTTATAGTTAAACATATGCATGATCATATTATTGATTGTGAATTGATGACGGGAGCAGTTCAAGGAAAAAGAGTACTTATTCCTCGTATCAAATTACAACCAACAGAAGAATTCTTACCTTTCAATTTTACACGTCAACAATTTCCTATTCGAATAGCCTTTGCAATAACTATTAACAAATCACAAGGTCAAACGTTTCAAAAAGTTGGGCTGTTACTTGAAGAGTCAGTTTTTAATCATGACCAACTTTATGTGGCATTCTCTCGTGTTCACAACTTTACTTCTATTCGTGTTAAACTTCCTTCTAG